CATAGGTTCAGATCCCAGATCAAATGTGTGGCTAGTTGGTCTAGGGGTATGATTCTCACTTAGGGAGCAAGAGGTCATAGGTTCAGATCCCAGATGATCCCTTACTTTCATGATCTTATCATAGGGCACAAGTGGAAACTATGTTAAGTACATTTAAAAATTAGAACAGAAAGCATTTCGTTACCCAGAGTGGTGTGGGAGCATGGAATAAGCTACCCAGCCTTGCTGTTGAAGCCTGATACCCCGGTTACTTTCACAAAATGGCTGGATAAGATTCTTGGATCAATTCACTACTAACCATTAATCAAGACAGATGGGCCAAATGGCCCCTCCTCGTTTTGTATCCTTTCTCATGTTCTAAGCTTGATACACCCGCAATTACCACATTTATTTCAAGAAAAAGTTAAAATAAATAAAAGAAAACTTTTTTGGGGGAAAAAAGAAGCAAGAGGGGATATGTTAACATGGCGGGATGTGATGACCTCTGGAACTTACTTCTCTTCTCCGGTCAGCACCTTCTCCAGATCCCTGCGTGGGGTCTGCCCTCCTGAACTGGGGGAACAGAGGGGAAAGAGATGTCACACCCAGGGATCCAAACAGAGAAATCTTATTCCTAGAGCCTCCAGAGTATTCCTCGCCCTCTCAAGGCACGTAGAAATCACTGAACTGCCCTTCAAGATTCCTACACCCCAACCATAAACTCACTCCAGAACAGATACATGCTCCACACTGTGCATGCTCACACAGCTGCATACTTTCCCCATGCAACATGACTGCTGAGGAGAAAAACTATCTTCCCTTTCTGCCACGTGCACTAACTCCTTTTAAAATTTCAAGTTTTTTTTAATAGTTTAACACTCAGCTTCTTACTAGTTTAACAATTCATATCCCATAGATAAAACACTTTATCAAAGGGCTGCATTATGCCTGAAAGTCTCAAGTAGACATGTATCGTTCATTGGGCATTAAAGTCAAAAAGTGCTGGGATACATGTGAAGTTAAAAAATGAATGGAAACAAAGAGGAATAAACCAAATATAATGCTGATATGTTTTAGTAAACAACATCCAATTTTATTGGGAAACATGCAAGTGAAAACTACTACAACCACTTCGCAACACACTGATGAGTCATATACAAGGGCGGTTGCTGTGACTAAGTTTTATGTGAAGCACAACTTATATCTTTTTTAGCTATTTCTTACAGCTGATTCTGTTTGCGAAAGTACACCAGAACCTTAGGGACCCCCACTCTAATGAATACTTTCTCCTCTCTCAGTGGCTACCATGGCCCGCTAGAGAACCAGGGAACACACTTCCATCACTTTCCCGCACACCTCATTCCTATTAAAAAGCTCCTGGGAATACTGTTTGTCCAGAGGTTCATCATTGGTGGGACTACAGGGTCTTAACAGCTGACTTGAAGCCTATCCATCACACAAAGAAACCAGGCCATTCTGCTCTCGGTGCCGCAGTGCAGGCACAGAACACACTCAAGAGAGAACAACCTGGCCGGCTGAGAGAAGACATCAGGGTCCTCTGATCTCGGGACCTTCGGCTGCTCACTTTGCAGGAGGAGGAGGAATGGTGGGTGGGGGCGACGGAGAGAGTGCAGAGGTAAGGACAAGGGACACACAGTGTAGGTGGGCGAGTCAAAAAGATGAAAAAGAAGAGCAGGACGAACGTAGAATAGCAGGGAATACTAAGGAAGGAATCAATAAGAGGATTTATGTGCAGCCCTAAACTGTATCCTATGATGTAACCGGTAGCTTATTTCCCATCTGACAACAGAACTTTATGGTATTACAAACTATACCAACTCACTGTTGCTGCCTCTGGAGTCATTTTGGCTCCACTGTCCAGAAAAAGCAGCTCCCACTGCAGTTGGATTACAGCTTTCTTCCACATCTTTCTGACACATCTGCATTTCTTTTTTAACCCAGCTCTAGCTACCAGACATCATGACTAAATAATGATCAAATAACCACACGCAGTCACTTACGAAGAGATTTCATAAAAGGCTGACCTATCATGGAGATTTGTGTAAAGAACAGAACTTGCACTGTCCGTGAATCACATTTCACATACAATCTGAAAGGCATCCCTTCAGTCTGAAGGTTGGCCTTAATTAGACTATCCTGCCAGCCTGTGTAGAGGGAACCAGGCCCTTGTGGCAACATCGCACTCACCTGAGCCGGCGCCGGGGCGGGACCTGCTGATCCAGGTCTCTCTGCTGCCTCTCCTCCCGAGTCATACCCTTGTAGTTAGACGTCAAGCCAAAGATAGGCCTTGACCACTCATCTGCCAAAGACACAAGGGACAAACTGAGCAGCAGCACAGACCACTCTACCTCGCATGAAATTTCCACCATCACTCTAATTAACTGTAACGGAACTGGTTTCTCTGTTAGAGCAACCAGTTTTCAAGACTATACATCCCAAGGCTTAACTTGTCCAAGACCACCCGAAAACAAACAAAACCATGTTGTATTTACATGAACCGCTAAAAAAACAGCACCACTGCGCACAGTTAAAGCGATTCTTACTGATGAGCTTGAGGGCCAGATCCTTGTTGGCACGAGACTCTTTGGGGTGCTTGTAGAGGTACATGACTGCCCGGCCAATCCCACTGTGCTTGAGGGTCTCCTGGCTCACACTGGGTAGCTGAGGGACACAGCAAACAGCAACACAACCAGATAAGCAGATGTGTCCTGACCTACTGCCAGCCCACTCATGGAGACTGGGCCTCTGTGAGATAGTGAGTAAAGACTTGTGAGAGACATAATGCCTGAAGGGGGGTCCTCGTGACCCCAATGTCAACCCAGCTGGACCCCAGTTTGCTACACTGCAGGAAGAAAGCAAAAGAAGTGTTTTTCTGCCCCCCAAAAGCTGCATTTTTAAAATTAGTACAAAGTTTAACATCTCATACAGCTGCAAATGTCCGAATAGTACTTCACTAGTTAAACCAAGAGTCCCATGAAAAAATCAGAAGCCGATCTGAAACAACAACCAACAGACACTTAGGTCACAAGGACCAAAAAGCTCTGGTCTAGAGGGAGCTGAAACAACCAAGACAGGTCTAGAGCAACTAGCCCTTCTCACCTCTTGTAGGATCTTCAGCAGCTCCTCTCTAATCCTCAGTGCTGGTAGGCTCTTATCTGGAAGAGGGCTGATCCACTCTTTAATGGCTGTCATTACTCCACTGTCAATGAATGTCTCCTTCAAATCCTGCCTAAAAAATGACAATTTCCCCTTACTTCATGTATCTAAAGTCAAGATAATCTCTGCATACTTATTATACCTTGGAATATTTCTGGCTTCACATCCAGTTGTGTAATGAAAAGGAAGGATCAATTCAAAAGGTGTCAGTTTCCAAAATTAACAACTGTCTTTTACAAAAATCCTTTATCACTTTAGGTGTAACCAAACTCTGGGAAATTGATTTTTTTAACACCATTAAAGCCTCATAAAACACAAGTATAATCAATACATTGTAAAGTTATTAACATAGAATATGAAGTCTCTTAACAGATTTCTTGTAATATTTGTAATATTAATGCACCTGGTCCATTTCTCCATAGTTGGGATTGTTTCCAAAATGATGCATTAAAAAGACATGTGCCCAGTGCACTGTTTTATCAGACTGTTAGTTGAGATCCAATCCCTGTTATAGCCACATTAGATTGGTGGCTATGGGTTTGGGGATTTATCTTGAGAGGTGAACCTCTCAAGAGTCTCTGGTCCCATGGTCAAGTGCCTATTAGAGCAACTTATCAGTTAACATTATTAGTTTTACATAATTCAAAAAATTGCCTGTGTAACATCCCAAATACTATCCATCCTATATAAAAATGTTGAACAGGCCTGATTGCCTATAATTATGGCCAACAGGACTGGAAGAGGAGACGTGTGACTTTGAAATAGGTTGATTGATGGGGTTGCTTTGGAGCTCCAATGCTCTCATCCTCCAGTATTATGATATCTGTGCATTCGAATTGCGAGGCAAAACAGGTGAGCAACTGCAAATCAACTGATCAGCCAGATTCATCAAAACCAATCTGCTAAGAGTGTGATACTATAGTTGGGCTGCAGTGCACCAACTGCTCACCAGCTGGTAGTGCACATTTGTGAGCCCAGTGATTCAAACAGCACAGGCTACTCACTCCACCAATGCAATGAAACTGCACTGCAAATATGCACTGGTCAGATGAACTGTCCTTCACTATGTACGATAAAGTCACACTCCAGGCTACTGAATCTTCTCTCCCACTTTAATTGGTGAAACCAATTCCTCGCTAATGCTAGTTAGCTTCTGAAGACATAAGCCTCTAACTGAGTGACACTTCAGTGGTACACTCAGTAAATGTCCTCTAACAAATCCAATGCTTGTGAGGTATTTATGGGTGAAAACAGCAGCACAACAAGCAAGGAACTACATGGCAATGGTCATACAGAGAATGGGAATCTTACTTCTTCAGGTGCATGACAACAGTGGGTAGCAGAGTCAGCTTCTTCAAAGCTGGTTTCTTTTGGGTGTTGAGGGTCCTATCCTCCTGCAAACACAAGGACACTCTCACATTCAGCATGTTTTGCAAAGTTCAGTTTGATCACTTCAGAAGGAGCAATACAAACTAACAAATCCAACTACAAAAAAACCAAGATTCACTTGTCACATTAAAACTTGGCAGCGAAGACTTCTCCACCATTAACAAAGGAAACGAAGCAAACCATGAGTTTAAGTACCAGGGAGAAAAACACAACTCCTGAAAGAAAAGGTCGCAAACTCTGTAAGAGCACAAAGCCTTGAGCACAAGCTACCTTTATAGCCTTACAGTAACAGGTATCAACCAGGGGATGAGGGTACGGATACAAGTCTCACCTCTGCGGCCTCTGTCATTTTGGTGATCATGGCGCTGACCACGTCATCGGCATCGCTGATGAACGTCCCGCCGTCCCGGTTCCGCCGCCGCTTGCCGCTCTGTGCCTTCTTCTTCGCCAGCATCATGTCAAAGTCAGACACAAAGCTGGAGCTGCAGCAGGAGAAAGCAATGTAACCGCGAGCTAGGACTGTGCCTGAGTTATGGCTACTTCAACTACAATCTCTTACGATCTTAAGATCTCTTATGCAGCTTTGCCAGCTGTCTACATTTCTTCTGCTCTCCATTAACTGGCATCTTAGACAAGTCCAGCATGAACACTGTTAAGTACGCAAGACAGGTTTGCAGACAATACCAAAACAGGATGATCACAAAATATCGTAAAACCAGCAAAATCAAAAAAGATTTGTATAAAAATCAAGACTGGGCCAACACTTGGAAGATGACAATTCAGGAAGGGCATGCATTTGCACGAAAATAATTAACATTTCCATCCAAAAAATTTTGACTGAAAGTATATAGTTTTCACTTGTAATTTTCACTTGTAGACTCTGCTGGTTTAAAATAGGGAGTCTTGTTTTTAACCTTCTATTAGTAGTTTACAAAAAGAAAAGACAAGAACACTAAAACGCTGCGGCAAAGCAAACAGAAGAGGCTTTGGCTTCAGCGGGGTACCTACTCTTTGCCACCTCTGTCGACGTCGTCATCAGAGTCGGAGTCAGCAGTGGACGTCTTCTTCCTGGAAGAAGCTTCTGCCTGACTCTTATCTCCTTCTAAATCCTCTTGGTTAAAACCCTGCAGCAAACCACAAAACACACTGTTGCACACCGAGATTTTGAAAAGTCGGTACAGTCAATAAGACATGAAGCGTGTGTTTGCCTGCCCCTGTGAAAGTGCGTGATGGGACAGGCAAAAAAAGAAAAACGAAAAGAAAAAGAAAACCTTACGCGGTTGCAATCCCCTTCCGGGACTGTCAGTGAAAGCTCCCCCCTTCCGGGGGGTGGCCCTGCTCGTCCCGTCAGAGGGTGTCCAGTGTGCATTTAAAGGACCCGCCCAGTTCTGGCTCATCAGCTGGAAGCCCAAACAGCTGGGACTACAAAGGTGAGGCATCTACCTATGACCAGGGCACCAGCTCCACACTGGACGCCCCCCACGTATTCCCACACGTGACTTAAAAGAAGGTGACGGCTCATTTTAAAAAAAATTACATACTGTGAACTCCTCCTCTTCTTCATCTCCAGATTCACCGAAAATATCAGCAATCATTTTCCTAACGAAAAAGAGAACAAGTGTTACTGAACAACATTTTGGTCTAGTTATCCTTCCACATTTCAAATCAATGCTCTTTTCACCTGAAACATGTCAGTTTATTGCTTAAAACATTACCCATTAAAATACTGCAGCCTAAAACTACAATAATAATAGAAAAGGTCTCCGCTTTATTTATTCCCAGTGTCTTTACTTAAGTATCGACAAATAAAGGATGCCCTCAGAAATGGTCAAGCGGATAGAGCAAGACTTACTCCTCTTCGTTGTCGGAGTCGCTGTCACTGCCGAACAACGCCTTCTCATCCTTTTTCCCTGCATCTTCCTTCCCCTCCCCCTCCTCTTCCTCACTGTCTGATCCCAGGGTCTTGGGCTTCTTGGGAACAGCTCTGGTAGAGGAGTCGCTGTCAGAGTGCTCCCCTTCGGACACAACGCGGCTCTTCTTTGGCACTAATGAGGAAAATAAATTTAAAAACCGAACCAGCGGACAGATTTGCAGGTCTCGCGCCACAAAATACAATTGAGAATCATTGATGAAAACAGCGATACTGAGCTACAGCTGTTATCACATCTTTAGCAATGTGAACACCTGCTGATCGAGTTGTGCAATGTACCAGACAAGCCTCAGTGAGCTGTATGTGTGTGTGAATCGTTTCACCAGACTGCGATAAGAGAACTTCAGGATATCAAGGCACAAGAGTGTGCACATTAAAGATGTATTAATTCCTATCCCAAAAAACAACTGCAAGGGACAGGACCTGATGCGTGACAGAATCAACACACAGGTTAGTGGGACTCTTGAGTTTTGAACTTGTCATTATTATTCATTGATAGGGGATATTTTCAAAATAACTTAATTTAGATCACATTCTGACCAATTTCTAAAACCATTTTAAATATATCGCTACAGCTTTAGGTGACTGAGAAGTGTCTCTTCGATTTTTAATAAAGTTTGTGACACATGGAAGGGTAAACACTTCAAACTTCAAAGGAGCAAGGATGTTTGCCGAGGTCTGGGGGGTCCCTTGAGCAGAAACAATTGTAAAGTTTACCTTAGTATTAATGCTGGGCGATACTTCGATAACGATAATTATCGCGATGTGATTTTCCTCTATATAATTTTAACAAAAGTTCGATAATGTTCGATGTATATGTTTATGCTTTGCGCATGATATGCGCATGCGCACAAAATACCGCGCGAGTGCGGGTGCGTGTTGCAGACCAGGCAGCTAACGCAGTGTTGTTTACCCACACGGTGGTGGCTGACAGGATTGTAGTTAGAGTGGAGAAATGAGCAACACTGAAGCAAATGGAGATATAATGGGTAATTTGGAGATATTTTGGCTTTTTACGATCAGACATAAAACAGAGCACTTTAAACTTTACAGTCTGTCTGAGCCATCTTCTATGTGTTTTGTATCACTTGGCAGTATTTAATTTTTCTATTAAGATATTTATTTTGTAAATTTTACACATGCATATTTTGACATAAAAAAGACTTGAATACTCTCTACCTCAGATTTGTTTAATGTTTCTGCTGTTTGGCAAGTGTTTGTTGTGTTCTTAAAATAAAGAGTTGTTTAATTTACCAATTAACTTTCTCGCAGGACAAAAAAATCTGCCTTTAAACTTGAAAGAAAATGATTTTACATTTATCGTGATAATTATCGATATCGACTGATATGAACATTTTTATCGTGATAATGTTTTTGGCCATATCGCCCAGCCCTACTTAGTATACATAGGTAAGTTGTGGGTTAATGATTGTCAAGGAGCAGTACAAACACACACAATATAAGATCACACTAAGAGCACAAAGGCATTAAGCATACAAAGGGAAAACAAAAAACAAGAAGCAATAAGAATAAGGGAATAAGGAGAGGAGAGACACGAGTCCAGAAGAGTTGGGACTTCAAGCTTGCACCGGGCTGCTACTTTATGATCATCCAAACCAAACCTGACTGGAGCTAAGTATTTGAACCACGTTAGAGAGAGTGTGCTGTTCTTTGTTTTTAGGAAACTTGGGTTACCTGGGTAAAAGATACCTCAGTTAGAAGCGTCTTTCCAGCTTAGGGTGCATTTTTATGGATAGGGATATAGGCTTCCATTTATTTTGTAGCATCTGGGGTGCAGAGAGAGAGATTTAACTGCAGGTTACTTTGTATTTAGTTAGAAGGCACCTTATCTCTTATGTGGCCTCTGGAAGTGTTAAGAGTGTAATGCTTAGTAGTAGTCTGGGTTGTTTTGGGTGACCCGAATATTACGCCTCTGAAACGCCTTGTTTGTAAATACTGTATAAAGAGTAACTTGTGGGTTGTATGTTTTGTTTTGTGAAGTGTAGTTTGTGATCATTAACAAATATTTGTTTAACCAAGTGAGCCTGGATTATTTATCCTCTCAACAAAGCTGTGCCAGAGAATAAAGAATTCACCTGCCTCTAGTTACACCAGCTGCTCAGGTATATTGCTAGAAATCACTTACAAGTTGGGGGTCATGAATAATTATTTCACTTATTGACTAAACCACGTGGTCAAATCCTGATTTTCACCATTTTCATAACAATATTTCTACATATGCACTACGTCACAATTAAAATCTGCAGTGTCAAATGAGGCGTCAGGTAATCCCTCACTCACATGTCTTCTATTGGATCCCCTGAAGCTTCAAACGGATAACACCACCGGGAGTATCCTGAACTGTCAGAACTACATAGGGTTCTCACTTTGACTTTCCTAGGAAATACACTGCTTCGCTTGGCTAAACAGTGTGGATATACAAGGGAAACCCCTGTGGTTGCCTGACCTTGTGTGAAGGGTCTTCATGTTCATAAACTGAAGCTGAGCTGAGTCAGAGACTGCTCTGGAGAACTGACACATTCCTTCAATGGCAAACTCTTGTTCAAGTCAACATCAGACACACGCAGTTCAACGGAGCACCCCAAGATACTCAGCTCTGCTTCACGATCTTCAACAGAGCTTTGCAAGAAGATCTTGAAATCAACAGTTGAAATGACCTTAGATTACATTTCTGCCCCTTTCACTGCAGACAGTCCCTGAAGATGAACCAATTCTAAGTTGCCGGTGCCAGAAAGTTGAAATTATTAATTCATATTATTGATCTGTATACAAAATCTTCAACCTGCAATGTCAGCCAAGGAACTGTTTTGTTGTATTACCTCCTGTGCACTTGCACACTTTGCTTTAGTAGAACTAAGTGTTATAACGTAAATACTTCAATTTTGTCTAACTAGATGCCTATCCACTTTAAATGATGTTAATAAAACAACAATCTTAAGCTTTAAAGTGTACAAAAAATCATGGGGCTCTGGTTCCAAGGCTCTTGGCCACTGGGATTTAGGCCAACCTTGTATTAAGGCTTTTAAATCTGCTTCTAACTTTATATACAATATTTAAAGCTGGAGAATCATCATTGGTCTGCTTTAGTTTCACTTTCATAGTGGCCCAAAAGAAAAAGTACTTATGCCTTCCTCCATCAATGTCGAAATGACAAATATGAGGAGCATGACCTTTAGAGAACAAGAACAAGTCCTCAAACAATAGCAAAGCACATGGACTACTTACGAGATGACTCTTCCTTCTCTTCGTCTTCACTGTCCGACAAGATGGCCTTCTTCCTCTTTACTGAAATGATAAATGCACTTTAGTGCACTAGGTAGAACAGAAAGAAGAAAGCAATACACTCCCAGCATTTCCTGTACTAAATTCTCACTGCAAGGCCTGCCAGAGTCCTCACTCGTGAAAGGCTGTTCCTGCAGGAACTAGAGATCCTCTCATCTAGACAATCTGTTAGCAACATGAACGAACCCACTTGGAAAGGAGGAATAAGTGATAATCAATTCACTAATTTCATTTTTAACTTCAATGATTTTAAATTAGCATGAATAGTTCTTTATCCCACCACTTAAAAATATCATTGTATAAGTGTGCCAATAATTTCATTGAAAGAGTATGGGCCCACATTTACATATAGCCAGCCTGTCCACCTAATTAATAGGCAGTGTGCACAAGAAGAAAATAAGGACTTATCCTTTGGCTAGCTTTATCTAGCTATCCTTTGGCTCTGTGTGGACAAAAATATGCTTGGCTTCCTACTAGCAGTCTGTCCAGGATATTAACCCTTTGGCAACTTTCCCATGTGGGATACCAAATAATAGGAGATACATAACAAAAGTCAGTGAGTTGTGATCTATTCTGCATTTACACAGGTAGGAGTTTAACACATCACTTTGAGCATGAACTACAATCCAACCAGTGTTTCAGAAAAGATGCCAACCAAACCATTTGCTTGAAAAGAGACTGCATCTCAATTCCCCTAGCGAAATTCCCATCATCTCTTGCCCCAGGAGTGACAACCGGGCGTTGGTGAGAGTACCTGGTTTATCCTGGTCTTCCTCCTCATCGCTGTCCGCCAGTTTGCGACGTTTGTGACCCTCAGCTTCTTCCTCCTCTTTCTCTGCTCCCTTTGTCTCTTCATCGTTTTCGCTGTCCGAGTGCACCGCGGTCTTGCCCGCCTTGTCGTTCTCTTTGTCACTGTCTGCTTCGTCGTCGGACTCGATCCTCCTCTTGTGCCTCGGGGCTTCGTTCTCCGAGTCGCTGCCTCGCTCCCTGGACGCCCCCTCGGCGTCCGAACCGCAGCTTTGGCGCTTTGCCGGCGCCTCGCTCTCAGAGTCGCTGCCCCGCACCGGTTTGGGCTCCTCCTCGTTCTCCGAGTCAACGCCTTGCCGTTTCGGCTCCTCCTCGTCTTCCGAATGGTTGCCTCGGTTCTTGGGAGATTCCTCTCCATCCGAGTGGCTGTCCACGTGCCTGGGGGGCTCGTCCGGTTCGGAGTCGCTGCCTCGCCTCAAGGAGGACTCATCGCCCTTTTCTGAATCGCTGTCCCTTGGCCGGGGAACTTCCTCGTTTTCTGAATCGCTGGCAATGCCGTTTCTCTGCCCAGGGGGCTCGTCCCCTTCAGCATCACTAGGCTCAGCCTGTCCACCGGAAAAGAAGAGTAAGAGTCCACAGTAAGAGACATAAAAGGGAAGGAGGACCCATTTGCTTTAAGGCTGTAGAAAAATGTCACTATGAACTCCGTCATGAAGTCAGAACCCTGGACAAAGGGTTTTCATGAAATTATCATGGGTCTGGATGTGGAGAGAACTCAGATATTTATGGAGAACTGTAGCATCATTATTTTTAAGAGAGAAGCATCCACTTGGAAAAGTGTTTTTTCGAAAAATTTCAAATCAAATGTTTTCATTATATCTCTTGCTATATTTATGTTACACAGTGGTATTTCCTGTGACAGCACGCAGACAGGTACCTCAGAGTGCCGCCCCACACTGTCCGCCTCCGAGCCAGAGCGGTGCTCCTTGGCGTCCTCCTCCCCATCTGAGCCCAGGTGCTCGTCCTGTACGGGAGTAGCACCTCCGTCGTCTAGAGAGGGGACAGGAACGGCATCTTAACAACACTGCCCAGTTGATCTCGCATACGTCCACTGGGAAAATCCGCAGATGCAATCCTGCAGCATGAGACCTGTGTTCCCTGGGAAACCCTCTGATGCAATCTAGCAGAAGACAGGCCCAGACCAACCTAATCATGACAATTCAGCCTGTATTATTTCCACAACGCTAGGTTAAAACTCAAGTTATTGGAGTACAACTGCATGTAATCAACAGTAAGCAGACCACACATAAAGAGTTTCAACTAAGAGCATGAGTGAAACACCTCCAGATACATTTCTCTAAAATGAAGGTGTCACTCAAAAGGAGAGATGAAAACTTACATTTAAGACTGCATTTATCAAGCCCCAGAGAGTATGAGTGTAGTGACAGTGGGCCACAAACATATCAAATAACAAATGAAAGATCTAGTAAGATCTAAATTCAATTTCAGCACAGATAACCCTATTTAACTGAACTAATTACTAGATCAATCAATGGTCCAAACCCATTACCAATTCTTAGGTCCTGGAGTCAGGGAGACTGAAAGACCTTCCAGACCAGGGCCTGTCATGTGTTTTGATCATTTCAGGCTATCCTGAAAGTGCTTTTGTCAATGAAACCAACATTTAATCCTGAAAAAAATACACCCGAACTGTTCACCTACTGCAGCTGACTAACACAGTTGCTAACTTGGAGGAATGTTCAGGTCTAGGTCTCAAATGATCTTTGAAGTATAAACTGAAAAGAGTCTTCACCTATACATTAACTTTCATACTGCAAGGAGATAAAACAGTTTTTCATCTAGAGCCAAACAGCAGATTGAAAAGCCAGCGTACGCAGTATATACACTGTTACAGCTAAGGGCAGAATAAAGGAATGTTTTTTTGTCACTGCTACAATCGGGCAACAGGAGTGAAGACTCCAGGAAAACAGCAAACTTCAGATTGTGGGGTGATTTTCAAAGCTCCTGTCTAAACAGTCTCCAAGTACTGGCATCTTGACCGTCAGACCTGCTGAGATGGAGGCTAGCAGACTGTTTACTGTAAAAGCAGAAAACCATCATCCCTCCCTATTCCTCATAACTGTAATATGGGCCAATTTTACATTAGCAAACAAGATTCATTTTGTCAAGACTTCAATGGCTTTGATATACAACTACTCCATTTTACTGGAGCACAGCTCATGCAAAGAGGTAAAGGTCGATTCCTGCTGAAAAGAAAATTAATACAGCCACTACATTAACTGTAGAAATGAAACAATGCTATCTGAAACTAGCTCGCTACATGCATCTCAAATGCCTTGTATAAAGAGCAGTTCATTTGCTAGTTTCTTAGTTTACTGCCTGTATAACATCACCACTGCAGCGAGAAGAAAAGGAATATGAAATAGCCTTTAACCTGTAATGAACATGTTATATGCACACAGTCTTTCGCTTTTTTAAAAAACGGATGAAGCTGCCACTCCACTGAGAAGAGAACTGTATTCAATACTTGTTAAAAGTTCATGTGCTCAGGAGACATTAGTAAGGCACCGATCAGAGCACAGATCTGCTCTTCGAGAGTCCAAGTCCATCTTTTCCATTAAGTAGGCAAGCTAAGAGCGAACTAGACTAGAATGAAACTCCGATGTCTTCGAGACCAGCAGACCCCCAAGGTCAGAAAAAAAATCAATTACATTCACAGATTTCCAGTAACGGAGATAGTTCTACTCGCCCGGTAAGGCAGTTTGATCGGCTATGACCCGGGCAACAGCTAACCGTGGCCTCCGCGTGCAGATCCCCCACCCCCTCAGCCCCCCCTGTGAACAATAGTTCAGGCAGATACCTGACTGGTTTCCGGAGAAGAACTCGTCCTCCTCTCCGTCCATCGCGTCCGCGGTCTAGTTCACTGCCTCCTCGATCGGCGCTGCGCCGTCCCCTCTCCGTCCTGGCCAGACGGTGTCTGGGATTCGGGGGGTCGCCTCCAAACTGCGCCTTGCTCCCGTCGCACAGTAAACCGACAGGGCAGCGGGGCTTTTCCTAGCAGCTCCGGGGCCGTGTTTTCTCCTCGCAAAGACGCAGGTCCCGCTCCGGCCCGCCTGGCTTCAACACCCTCGATAATTTCGAAAAAACTCCAGGTCCGTTATCACACTCGTCGGGTGTGAGCTAATAAATCCAGCTACAGGCAGCAACGTGAGTCAGTATTGCAAAGCACCAATGTTTTCCTTCCCCCGCCAGCTAGAAGTCGTCTTCCCCGGCTACAAAAACTTCCTCCCTTGCTCGCTCTTTCCAAAATGGAGTCATGTTGACCTCCTTGTGCGCATGCGCACTGTTTAAGACGCGCTTCAAGATGACGCAAAACCGAAGGTATCTGTTGCCAGGCTCTCGCACTTACGAAACAGTTCACCAACAATGCCTTTTTTTGTCGAAGAAATTAGTAGTCATTATCAAGCAATTCAATGTATACACTAATACATATCCTTGATGCCAAGCGAATATTTTCGTGTTTTTTTTTTAAATGAGATGAACTGAATTCGAATCTTGTCTCGCATGGCTCGTTGGTCTAGGGGTATGATTCTCGCTTAGGGTGCGAGAGGTCCCGGGTTCAAATCCCGGACGAGCCCTACTTTTTCAATTTAAACAATTTTTAAATTCGGTTTTAATCAGAATACGTAAAGTATAATCTGTATATTTCGTTCATTTCACAGAACAGTAACATGTTTAATATAGTAATTGCCGATATACATAGTGTATAGGAAATGTGTTGTAGTATACAGTAGTCCTCACCACCATACATTAAATAGGAACAAAACACATATGTAACAGAAAGAGTTATGGACTCAATAACGTCTCTTGCTTAAAACATATACAGAAAGTCCAGAAAACACAAGGGCTTATACATTCATACTGCTGTAACTTGTATTATGTATATTCTTCTCTGACATTTATTACAATGTAATTTACTAGCATGTTCTGGCACTTCTGATGAGGGACCATCGAATTTCTTCAGGCAGAATTGCTCCTTCAGTCCCTAGGTCCTTGTTTTAATATTATCAAAAATGTTTAATTAGATTAAATTATGAAGATCGAGACAGCCAACTGAGAACATTTATTTTGTGTGCAGTTTATTGATTTGGAAGTTTGTTTTAGATTGTTGTCATGCTGGAATGACAATTTTTAGCCATGCTTGAACTGGGAGAAAGAACCATGTGTCTGACCAAAATGTCCTGATACATGTCATTGTTCATGAAGGGGTCTTTCTAGATCTAGCCTCAGATGCACAACATCCCTAAAGCATAAGAGATCCCCACAAAGTGGGCAGAGTGTTTTCACCCTTTTTTACACTGAACACATGAGAATAATAATAATAATAATTGCTTACACTTATATAGCGCTTTTCTGGACACTCCACTCAAAGCGCTTTACAGGTAATGGGGACTCCCCTCCACCACCACCAATGTGCAGCCCCACCTGGATGATGCGACGGCAGCCATAGTGCACCAGAACGCTCGCCACACATCAGCTATCAGTGGGGAGGAGAGCAGAGTAATGTAGCCAATTCATAGAGGGGGATTATTAGGAGGCCATGATTGGTAAGGCCAATGGGAAATTTGGCCAGGATATCGGGGTTACACCCCTACTCTTTTCCAGAAGTGCCCTGGGTTTTTAATTACCACAGAGAGTCAGGACCTCGGTTTTACGTCTCATCTTAAGGACAGCACCTGTTTACAGTACAGTGTTCCCGTCACTATACTGGGGCATTAGGACCCACATGGACTGCAGGGTGAGCGCCCCCTGCTGGCCCCACTAACACCTCTTCCAGCAGCATGAGTATGTCCAAGAAGATTTTATCTGACCATAAGATATAGTTCCAGCCCTAATTCAGACATGGCTTGACATTCATGCAAGCAACTTTGGATGCAACACCCTTGCGTTTTCTGGAATTCAGTTAGTTTTGGCTGGAAAAAGCCGACTGTGCTCTGTGTTAATGCTAGTATGGTAACAGCATAGCATGACATCTTTATTTTTGGTTCCTATTTCAAAGCAGTCTTTTCTGTCATAAAACTTATTCACAGATAGTTCAGCTGTCGACATACTGTATAAATCAAAATTTACATTGTCAAGCTGTGTAAAGTGCTAAAGTGTATGGAATAATATAATAATAATAGTGTAAATAGCCTACAGTGTATTACAAAAGTGTGTGCCAGGGCACAGCGGACTATAGGGACCCCATCTAATATTACAATATTTTAATATTGACAACACTGAAACAAAAAGAAACATTCAGAAGCCTCTAGTGCCCACGTCCAGTCCTGGAAATCAGCAGCTGCACAGGTTTCAATTTACCTTTAATTCCAAATTGAGCACATGGAAAAATACTTATGTAGTAATTAATTAGTATTAATTCTGAATGATCATTATCTCAATACAGAAACAAAAGGCACTGATGACATAAAAACCAGAAACAGGAGTTCCTGAAATCTGGAAAACATTCGCCATTCTCTTGTGATGTCAAGGATGTCAAGGAATTATTGACAATTGTATGTCATGTGGCATTCTTCGACAGAAAAGTTCTTATAATGTTATCAATAATAGGGGGACACAGGATTTTTTAAATGTGAAAAGCTGCCCACACATGACGCAGCTCCGGTGCAGAGTGGATCAGGAGGAGAAGGAATGAACTGCTTTCCCAGTTTAATTAAGGGGGAAACTGTAGGGCGGCCACACTGTGTAGCGCAGAATGGAATTCAGACAGGGCAGCAGATCTCACAACTCTATAGACGTGATAACAAACTACAAAACTCAAGATTGACCTGCTCCCCCCCACCACACCCACATGAGTATAACAACTAAAACATAAAAGAAAACTAGAAAACCAATTGGACTGTGGATCTCATTTCCCATCGCTACCCTGATAGAAAACATTCACTTATCATACTTAATCCACATCCACATACAGCTCTGTTGTGGCTGGAGCCAAGTTGTGCATGGTTAAATTCTCTTGAAAAAGACGTACTGTTATGTTTCCGAGTTGTTCTATACTAATTTAATCGATGTCCTGACAACATCAAAATCTACAACAACATGACAGAAAGAAATGGGGAGAAAATGCATTTTCATGCATTCTGGTTGCCTTATGACTGGTAAGCCATGATTTTGTTTTCTTTTACTGAAATCAGACAGTGCTCTGGTCAATGTCTCGTTTATTGTGACCTGTAATCGCTGTAATGGTTGCCCTACTGCTTCCCCTTGGGGTCTTTATGTAAATGAGACACTGCAAAAACATAGACTCACCCCGCTAATTTAATTTTCAAGCTAAATGCAGTAAATACAGAGATCTTTGCGCTAGTCCAGAGGAATCGTTTATTGTCGCCTTGAGTGCTCTGTGAAGGATGGCGCACATTAACAGGGAAAAGTTGTTTTTTCTTCTCAGATGCTGAAATGTAAGTATGTTAGAAAAATAGACTTTTATTAAAACTTTGAGTTTCAAAACATGCTTTCTCTTCATCAGTACAATTTGCTCTTCAGTTGGTGATCCACTGCATTTTTATTGTGACATTTACAGTAGAGTGCAGATTGCTTCTTGTCAAGAGAGCTCCCTGCAGTTAAGAGCCTGACAGCCTACACAGAATGCAGAACATCTGGCTAATTTCAGTAGGACTCTTAAATGTCAATACTGGCCACAAGAAGAAGCAATCCCCACTCTCTTCTACTGTCATCAGTAACCTGCTGCTTTCCTTAGTCGTCTCCCTTTATATATGTTAAATCCTTAAAAATGGACAGGTGCTTCCAGAAAACAGCCTTCTTCATTATTTTTAAAAATGAAACTGAATTAGTATATTTTTAGGAAAGTAATAATAAGAAAAAGTTCTAAGCATTAAAAAAATAACAACATTTAGTGGTTTTCAGTCTATATCGACATTACAGTATTTTGCATGGTAAAAAATAAATAGTTTTCTACTGAAATGTTGATCTTTTCAAGTTGATGTATCAGGGTTAATACAGTATATAGTGATGGACCATGTGCAGCAGGAGCTTTGCTGCTTCATATCTCAGCGGGAGAAATTTAGTAAGGACTGGCGACTACATATTTCTTGGTTCCATCTAGAGGGGGTGCTCTTGCATTCTTCATTCTAGAGTGCAGAAGACGGCACTAACAGACTTCAGCCCTCTCCCTGCCCCTGCCCAGGCCCCAGCCCCTCGCTGGCCTCCTCTTCTTTCTCTCTCCCAAATGTCCGACGGGACAGCTTCTCTGGGTCATGGGACGCCATGTTGGTGAAATCCCGGAAGATGTCCTGAAAGGTCTCGTCGTCACCTGGAAGCAGATCACAGGAGCGACTTGTAGGCAATGGCTCTCCAGACCAGACGAGCACAGTTTCTAGGTTAATTATGATCATGTTTCAAAGTTACCAGTGGAAGTCAGCACAGCGCTAAACCATGTCTGGGAAGACTACCCTAAACTAACTGTGTGGTAGGGCACCGTGCTGCCAGGTCTACTGAAAGGTACATATTTTTATTTTTAGACGCTTTATAGGGGCTCCTGAGTGGTTCAACCAGGTAAGGCGCTTGCTCGAGCTGGAGGTGTGATTCATTCCAGGCCAAAGTTTCAGAAGCTTAGCAGGAATATTGGAAGTAAAAACAAACAGTAGGAAAAGAGGTTTCTTGAAAAGTGTCCCTGTCAGAGTGTAGGAACAGAACAGAATGGTGAAAGTGCTGTTGCATTATTGATTCCCAGTTTAAATAATGGTCACAGATTTAACAACTTAAATCTGGTTCATACCCATGGCTCCATAGAAGCCTTCCGAATCTCTCATCTCTTCATTCATGCGAGCCATCCTAAGCCTGCACCACACAAACAGAAACACATATCAGTATCTCCAAGGAAAAAATTAAAACTTCATCTAATTTGCAGTTTAGTACATGCCAATAAAATGACAATAATGATTAACTCCAGCTTTGCAGAAAGATTTGTGGTAGTGTACTTTTTTCATTTGCATGCCACAGGCCACTGCTTAAGTAATAAAGTCATGTAGGGATATTCCATTAGTCTGAATCACAGCTCCGGGTCATGTCTGCCCGTTTCATAATTGTGGAACCCACTACAACAGTATCTGACAAAACTGGTATCTGAGACATTTGTATATGACCTACTTTCAAAGAACTCATAATATCTGCTTATAATTTATGCATGCAAAGCAGCACACTGCCACAACTGGCTGTGACAAAGCAATTTTACTTTCACAAAATCCAAATTTCCCATCTTCGCATGTGTCCTCCGACAGGAAGTGAAGAGATCACTCACAGTGTAACAATGTCTGCCTGTGCGTTTTCCATGGCAATGCTGAGAGGATCCTTTCCTCTCTCATCTACAGCGTACTGGTTGGCTCCCTTCTTCAGAAAAAGACACACCTGCCTGCAGGGAAACACGGGGAAAACCGAGAAAGGAGATTTCACAGATGCCTGCCCACCACTCAAGACAACCCACTGTCAAAACTCACTTGGAATTCTAGCCCATAGTCTGGAAAGTGATATTTAGTTATTTTATTGTACATGAAGAAAAAAGCCTCTGTTGTAATGGCAGACATAATTATAAACTGTGGTTTTTAGTCCCACACAGACAAAAATGCTCACACGCATTTCAGAAACACATCAGCTCTACAAGAGACAGAGAAAGTGTTTCCTGTTCCTTACAACAGTAATGTTGGATTTAGCAGTAACACTCCTTAGCTACACTAGTTAGGACCATACCCGCTGTGGTTATGGGAGCACTTCGATAATCCGTAACTTCACAAAAAAGTATCCTGTAAAATACGTCTGCAGTAGAAAGGCTTATTTTTACTTTTAAAAATTAAGTAGTATGAAAGACTTGCTGTTGCCTGGGTTCTGTAACCCTGGCACAACTCAGCTCCTCTGTGTTAGGCCTTAGCTATGTGTCTGAGTTGGGCCTCCCTGATAAAGACCATGTTCTGACTTGACCACAAACCAGGACATTGTAAAAGGGGTCCATTTTGACCACCAGTGATGAAAGGCATTCCTAGTTTACTTCCCATCCCTTCAGTAGTGGTTTATCCTGGTCTCATCCGTTAAAATTATTACGGGTTTCTGTACGCAAATCCTTGTAGTGACACTACCTCAAGGCAGAACCTGCTACATGTCCCAGCACATTTAGAGGGCACTGCAGACGTGTCCCAAGCCTGTTTGCACTGGCCCAATGTTTGCATCAATGAATCGTCCCACAGAGATGTTGATGTCTTGCCGACGTGGGCCGGACTTTGCAAGGCGTGTACAATCGGCACCGTACCCAGTGTGGCCCCAGAAGGTGGCGACGTGAAGAGCCCCCTGGCCCCGCTGGTCCCTGTGGTTCACGTTCGCGCCGTTCTGCAGCAGGAACTCGCACGCCACCAGGGAGCCCTGGGGAGACAGCGCAGCTACATGATGGTGATGGTGGCGCTCCTCCGGACAGCACTGCGGAGGCTCAGGCCCAGCACACAGACAGCGACAACGCTGAGGACGCTTGGTACTTTCTATTCTTTAACTATTTTATCAAGACCTTTGATAACAACGAATAAGATTACAAAAGAAAAGTTCTAAACGAGAGGAGGCCATTTGGCCTGTTTCAAAACACTCCACGGAGAATAACATACTATTAACACTGTCAGTACTCTTTGCCCAGCCTACCCATGCTTCAGCACACAAATGGTTTGACAACAGCTGCTGGGATAGCTTACTGCCTTGCTCTTAGCACTGAGCATATGCCTGTTTTACTTCAGCCCCGCAACTCTAAATAATGAAACGACCCAAGCCTTGGCAGCCCACCCCATCACACAACGCTCCAGATGTTTGTGCTCTCACCCCACAGGCGGCAGCAATCAGAGCCGTCCTGCCCTCCTCCTCTGGATTGGCCCAGTTCACCTCG